TAAAGAAACCACATATCAAATTTGCTGTTCAACCTAATATATCACTATTAAATGGACCACATATCAAATTTGCTGTTCAACCTAATATATCCCCTATTAAATGGACCACATATCAAATTTGCTGTTCAACCTAATATATCACTATTAAATGGACCACATATCAAATTTGCTGTTCAACCTAATATATCCCTATTAAATGGACCACATATCAAATTTGCTGTTCAACCACATATCAAATTTGCTGTTCAACCTAATATATCACTGTTAAATGGGCCACATATCAAATTTACTGTTCAACCTAATATACCCCTATTAAATGGACCACATATAAAATTTGCTGTTCAACCTAATATACCCCTATTAAATGGACCACATATAAAATTTGCTGTTCAACCTAATATATCCCTATTAAATGGACCACATATAAAATTTGCTGTTCAACCTAATATACCCCTATTAAATGGACCACATATAAAATTTGCTGTTCAACCTAATATATCCCTATTAAATGGACCACATATCCAATTTGTTGTATCATTTTATACATCGCATTTAGATAAACTAAATATAAAGATAGGAAATCTTAATACGATAAAAAATAAAACACCTACTGAATACGCTAAAAATAACTAACTGTAATCATTGTTAGTCGTTCTGTCTCCTAATAAAGGTGATGAAGATACATTTGTTTATTTCAATATAAAAAACAAAACTGAAACATACGTGATTGTAGGGTAGCTTGCTTCATCACTTGGACGTTTCTGATCCTTTCGTTGAAAGGTATGTCATTATTTTCCCATATCTGTCCATTTTATTATTTTTAAGATCGACATAACCATTCAACTTGGATATCTAGCAGAGACACTATGTAATTGTAAACAAAAGTGATTGCCAGAGAGCATAAAGGGAAAGAAAAAAGATTTAAAAAAGCAAAAAGAAGCGACGTTTTAGGCAAAATTACAGTCATTCATACTACACAAGTAAATTAGTTTTATACATATATATTATATGTATGTATGTATATCATTTTGTGTGCATCAATAATTTTTTACTTTTTATATCGAGAAACTAAAAAAAAGGTTCTTATATATAGATAATATTACAGGAGAGAGATAATAGAATGACGTTTTTTACCTATCAATAAAGAATTAATGTAAAGTTAAGATATCTTTTAAATGTTAATGAACAAAATATTTTCGATAATCAATTTTTCTCGAGGTAAAAAACGGGTCAGTGAGCACGTTCATATTTGATATTCACAACTGCACGAGGAGAGCTTTCAAGATTAGACTAGTCTACAATTTTCACGGCAGTAGACGAGAAATGTGAAGTAACTTTTCGATCTGCAATAGTACTTGAGATTATGTAGACAGATTTCATAAGACAGATTCTTGTATGTCCAAAGGCTAATGGAAAATGTGTGTGGACGTTTGGAAAAATCTCATTATTGTTATTATTTCCTGATGGAACGCATATTTTGCATCATGTGTTGGCCAAACACAAATTTTAGTAATATTTTAATTTAGAATTCACCAAAAGAACGTGCCTATATGTTTTCATTGTTTAATATTTCGACACTTATGAACATAAATAGCCTAAAATTTGAATGATAAGATTTACAGTTCTTTCAAAGTTATTCCAATTATAAACAGTTAATGGCCTAAGCCATATTTCGTGATTTATGTACGTAAGTTCATTTAACTATTAGTTACTATAATCAATAGAAATTTACGCAGATAATTGATTTTCAGAGAAAGGTTGAACAATAACACAACTAATATTCATGGGGGAGGGGAGCGCAAATCAATGGACAGAAGC